GTCCTCATTCTTTCCTTTCCAAGCATCAGTTTAAGGCTTTTAAATGCAGTCTGCCATTGTAATTCTCGTTTTAAAAAGCCACCACTTGAGATGAAAACCTGTTAAATCAAATAGCATATTTTACACGTCCCCCTGTCGGGTGTCATGTATTTTTAAGGCAGACCTTCAGAGACCAATGACACTTTGATAGTAACACAAAATCTTATTTTGTTTCTCCCTCTCTCTCCCTCTCTCACTGTCTCCCGTCTCACCATCTCTCCTCCTGTTAGATCAATAAACAATTCATTGAAGCTCTTTTCTTTGCTTTTCTTGTCAGAGGCACAGAGGCGTTTTGAATGCATTAAGGCAGCGCTCTGTGCTGTCACACGCTCTGTATTCCAGACCAAAGCTGTCAGTCGCTGCCCTCCCTTTCAGCAGCCCCCTCCGAAAGCCTTGGGCTCCTCTAATGCCACATTATGCCCAGCCACTCTCCCGGATTACATGGATGTGCAGTCCTCCTCCTGTAGTCTGGGCTCATTAGGTGTCAGCTGGAGTGAGCAAGTGAATACCCTGGCCGGAGAGATGCTGCAGACATATCGCATCACACGCACACACGGCTGCTGGAACAGCTTGTACCTGTTGACTTCCCAGCAGCCTGTAGCACTCTCATAAAAACACTCATGTAACATCTCTTTATCTATCTGTCTCTCTCCTCCTGACAAAAAATCTAATTCGTGGAGGAAAAAAGACAGGGGAGATATGAAGCCAGGGAGAACCATTTCTTTCCAATCGCTCGGAGTGCAAGACCCCTTGTTTGGATTTCATTCAGCATCACGTTACCGTGGAAATGAATGGGTCAGAAAGCCTTTAGATGTGGCTTTACCCTTCAGACATAGAACCCTTTGGTAATGCGCTCCTATAATGCTCACATTTATACATCCCAATTATAATTAAGATGCAGTCCCCATGAAAATCATTACACTGCTCGAAGGGGTTCTCGTGACTAATGTTCTCAGTACGCCATGCTATACACAGATATGCTCGCTTGCGAGCGCAGTAGGAATTAGTAAATTTCTCTTGATGGCCCAGTTTCACACTGAGCCAAAGTTCTGTGTTTTGCACATTATACTAATTGTGGGACTAAATATTTGGGCTTTCTTTTGAGGCTACGCACACCCCCCCATCCCCCCTCCCCGTGTATGTTAGAAGGGTTGTATAGTTTTGGCACCAGTTTGACCATATTGTCTCGCCCTCCTGAGCCCCTGCTAGCACCCATTGTCCCCAGGCTCAGCAGGGCTGTCAAGGCCCCCTCTGCACCGGAGCGCCCGGGCAGCCCTGCCCCCCACCTGGCCCAAACAGCTGCCCCCATGACCCCTCACTCCCCTCCCACTGTCAGACATGAACTTCTCTCACAAGCTTCACACATACCATACAGTCTTGGTGTATATATACTCCATGGCACTGGCTTTCCTGATACTCACGTATGACTTGTAAGCCTATGTGCTTTGCAGACACATCTAATCTGTCTGTCTGCCTGGATGTCCTCTGCATGCATGGTTAAAACATTTCAACTTGAGACCCTAATCGTAATTGTGGATGTGGTTAAACATATAGGCCTATATTTACTACACAATGACTGCAAAAATTACTTCACTTATTAATATTATTTGAAATATTACTGTATATTAGGGATTTTTTCAGCGACTTATTTAATAGGTTACATTTTTACACCAGTAGGTGGCGTCAAGTGAGTAAGTGACTGAATCATTTATTCAAACAATTAATACAAAAACATTGATTCATTCAGGAATGAAACAAGCGGGTCTTTGAAAAATATATTAAACTGATTTGTTCTCAAAACTGATTTAAACATGAATAATATGTGACTGTCTTTGAATGAGTCCTTGGAATGTAAACTCAACTGATTCAGTCAAACACACCGATTCATTTGAGGAACAAAAATATGATGTTATGAATCATTAAATTGTTCCCTGAACTGATTTGATCAAACATCACTGATCTTGATTTGATTTGGCACCATTTTATTTGGTGGAACAAAAATTAATACAGTAACTGTAGTAACTTTAGTGACACATCACATCAGATACATCTGCTCAAACACCAACATCCTGCATACTTACAGGTGCGTCTCAATAAATTAGAATGTCATGGAAAAGTTCATTTATTTCAGTAATTCAACTCAAATTGTGAAACTCATGTATTAAATAAATTCAATGCACACAGACTGAAGTAGTTTAAGTCTTTGGTTCTTTTAATTGTGATGATTTTGGCTCACATTTTAACACATTCCAAGCGGAGCTTTAAGACGGGTGTGTCATATTTCCTAGCTCTTCGCTGAGCAACAGGTGACATCACACCTCACGGCAGTGGTGACAGAGAGCAGCAGGAGTTTGTATTCCATCAGCACTGGCGAATTGAAACTCAAGCTAATTAACTTTGGTCTCACCAGCTTAGAACGACACACGCTCTCCATGTGGGGTTTCTCAGCTCAAGCATTGGCCCTGTGGGAAATGCAGTTACCTCGTCTAACTCTCACATTAAGTTTTAATCACAGCCCTGTTCAATTTGTTATCGTAAAAAACAGTATTGCATTTATAATGTATACTGCATTCTCTTCTAGCATGTTTATGCATTTAAAATGTACAGTCTATCTCTTCTGGGAAAATTAATTTTGGTGATTCATAAATGTTGATGGCTCATCCTGCACTACACAGATTTTTGTCCAATCAGATGATCCCTTGAATAAGAATGTCCCTCCCCCGCAACCAATTGTTAATGGCTATAATGTAACCAAAGACTTGCGCTATGGCCTCCTCCGACTTCCTATTGCAACAGCAAATATGTCAACACAGGACATAAAACTGCTTTTGTCAAGTGAATTCACTGGGTCTCTAGGTGATTATGTCTAGGTGTTATGTGGCATATTATGCTAGACATGGTTTTCTGGTATTGCCAGAAGTTGTCTTCTGAGCCAGGGATGGTGCGGGCACAACCATCCTGGAGTTTGAAAGTGTTTGCAGTGGTGAACACAAGCGGAACACCCTCAATACCTAAACAGTGTGGCGCACCCGCTAAGTAACGGCCAATGCTTCTTCAGGGCCATTAACTTAACACTGCAATGGAGCCAAGAGGCCCTTATAAATAGACACAGGAGTGGAGGTAAATTATGCCAAAACTCAGGCAGCAGCAGCCAAAGCCAGTCCTCTATCCAGGTGTTACTTTGTCCAACTCAATTTTGCACTGTAATAGAGGCTAGTGGGTCAGCCACTTCTCTCTCTCTCTAGTTCTTTTTCTCTGCCTTACCCTTCAGTACCGCACGGAAGAGTTTCTCCCAGCTAGGCCATTTACTTGTGACGCTCTTTACTTCACACAGAGGAACACTTAATTCCAGCTAACACCAATCACATGGACACTGCACTTCCCTTCATGGCTCCCGCTTTATCAACTGTCCCCCCTGCCCTTCTCCTGTTCCCAAAATAGTGTTCTTTCTTCAATGGAAGTGTTCTTACCACCTGAGAAATACGGTGCATTAGGAGTGAACTGTATGATGTGTTATTTTACTGGTAAAAAAATCCTTAAAACAAAGCTCAATTATTCAAATATTGTCTAGAAAATATTCTCTTTGTAGTATGCTAACAGTGTAATGTACGTAATTGATCCAAAATATGGCCAAATCTCCAAATGTTAAGCTATTAAAAAAAAAGACAAGGTCCATAGTGCATGGTCACTGATTGGGCTCTTCTGTGAGGGGAATACTTGAAATGAAAAGTGGGTAAATTATCATCATTAAATCTTTGTCACCAATAATGTGGGATTTTAAGAGCAATCACAGAGCAGCACTGGTGATGTGGCTTAGTCTTTCCCTCCACCCCATCCAGACCCTTGAGCTCCCTGGGTCAGAGTCCACCTAACCTCTCGCATTCCTCAGAGCCTTTCCTCCCTACCCCCGTCACCCTGTCATTCATCTCCCTCCACCCGCCCCCTTTAAATTTAGCTTTTTAAGTTTCTTTAGAGCCTTTAGTTTTGCCATGAACCTTCCTGAAGCAAACTTGCATTTCACATCCCCAAACTTCTTTGGGATTTCCTTCCATAATCAATGCCCCCCTTCCTTTTTATCAATAAACTGAGAGACGCAAGGAGTCATTAAAGATGGAGACAGCGAGTGGGGGAGGGAAATGGCAGGGCCCAGAGAAAGCCAGAAGGAAGGCTTGTCAGTATTTATTTGCAGAGAAGCAGCAATACAGCTGCACTGCCTGAGATTTAAGAACATCCTCTCAATCGCTCCTGTTTTTTTCCCCAGCAAATGCTGATTGATCGAGCTTTATGAACATGAGACTGGGGCTCCTCATAGATTTTTAAATTAGTGGCAGCTTTGCCCCAAAGATGTGTTATCGACTCATGAAATAGAAGCGGAGCTTAAAACACTCCCACTTTCCCCAGAGTTTTCTAGAGCCTGATCATTGAAAAAAAGAAGTGTGAGTCTGTGTATGAGAGTAAAGCAAAAGAGAAGGAAAAAATTGCTCACTTTGCCCCTTTATCCATTTAAACACCCAGATGTGAGTGGGGTTTTTTTTAACCAGAGATTTCAGTGATTTGCTAATATTCATTCCAGCCACTCTACAACAACCACTCTAGTTGTTTGTCATTTCCTTTATCTGTCCGCTGACCTCTTGTGGCACCATATTATATGTGCATCTCACCCTGTAGTACTGAATTAGATTCTCCTATTGATCCACTGAGACTGAGTGTATTTTCTAAATGAATCATTGTCTTTTTTAGCCTGATTGTCCAGCTTTTGCAGTGATCATGTGATTCACAAGAACCTGTAATTGGCTAATTAAATTGCAAAATAATGATTTTCTTTCTATAAGGTGTCAGGCAAATAACAGTCCTGCTCCAAAAGCCAATGCTGCTATGTTTAGTTAGTCAAGAGACTTTAACATACATACTGTAAATGAAATCGTACACTCGTGCTAACATCTCACTCTTTCTGTTCTCAGGTTCAGATATGGCCATCTTCTGTTTGCTGTGCGGGAAGCGCTTCCAGACGCAGACGGCTCTGCAGCAGCACATGGAGGTCCACGCAGGCGTGCGCAGCTACATCTGCAGCGAGTGCAACCGCACATTTCCCAGCCACACCGCACTCAAGCGCCATCTCCGTTCACATACAGGTCTCCCAATCAGCTCTTTACTACCTAAGTTTGTGTGTCTTAACGTTGCGCATTTGTGCATAACCGATGGCCTCGGGAGCCATATTTTTGGAATGAATCAGTAAGACATACTAATTTGATGCTTTGATGTTTTATGCACATCCGTCAAGCCGAATGAGTATTTTAAACACGCTGAGATGTGATTCACCCTGTAGAGTGTTTAAATCAGGATCCTGGTACAGTCATTGTTTTGGCTTTTTTTCCCACCTGTCATCCCGTCACTTTCTGGATGGAGGTGGATGGAATGAAGATAGCAGGCTGAAGTGACATGTCATTTAGTGAAAGGCCAAAGCGCTGTGATGGCTTGTGACAGCGCAGATATCGCCCTCCCCAGTCGGGCTAGTCCTGCTATACGGCGGTTCCATCCCCATGTGGCCAGATGTGTTGCTGAGCAGATGCGACGACTCGGGGAACAGTCTACATTACTGTCTCCAAATATGAGACGCTGGAAATGAATCCCATTTTCTCCAGAAAGCCTTTTCTCCCCATCGTCTCTGACCTTAAATAACAGCCTGACGTGTCAGAGTTGCTTTACTCTGTGGCGGCAGGGATGAATATTTGAAGCGAAAGCGGGAGATGAGCAAAGCCTGCCTGTTTATGGGCCGCCCGGCCTTTATTGGGGGGCTGACGGTACAAGGCAGCCGAGCACTTACTGTACTCACTTGTCCTTCGCCGGACCATACATTGGAGCCGACGCTCCCGCCTGCATGCATAAATGTCAACAGTCTGCTTCACCGCAGACACGGCGGAGGGAGAGAGAGGCTGTGATGCAGCGTCGCGCTAGTTTGAACCCAATTCTCTGTAGGCGTGTATCAAATTATTATGAGTGCTAGCAAGCACCCATTTAATGTGATGTGGGGGCTTTTGTCAAGGAGCTGAAAGGGAAAAACTGCTTTTGGCACTTGCAAAAAACACTGAAAAGTTTTTTTTTTAAAAAGAGGACAAAAAACAAGACTCATTGCTTGCGTTTAATTCTGCTTTGCTCTTCTTGATCTCATTCACAGTGTATTTTTTAATGCTGGAAACTGAGTCGCCGATGTGATAAGCACTCGGATATTCCTCCAGAGCCGTGTTTCCCAACCTTTTTTTATCTTATGTACTCCCACAACCCTGTCAAATAGTGCTCAAGTACCCTTTTATCAACACCACACCAGAAATATTTTCCTTGAACTTATTGTGTTAATATAATTAAAGTCACCATTATAACAGTGATTTACTTTAAAACAATCACTACTGTGTTTGACTCACCAGGTGGTTTATATAAAAAACCTTGTTTGCCTTTCAATCATAGACTTTCTCAAAGACGTGTCAGCTAATTTATTTGCAGATTGATGTTTAACACATGTTGTCATTTAGGTTCAACAGACATTTTGTCATTTATGTTTAACATACATTTAAGTCATTTGCTCAGTTTGTATAGTGGAATTTAAGTATCATTGAATCTATAATGGTTAAATAAATAATTAACCATGAACGAAACATACATTCACAAATGTGTGTTGCACAAATGTTGTACAAATGTTTATCCATCAGGACTGCTTCATAAAATGGTTGTCATATTATATTTTTTTAGATATTGCAGTTCAGCATTTTATTAATTTTGAAATTTAGAAATCTGCTTCTTTCAGATTTCTTTGTACATGAAATTGAGTTCAAAACTGTGGAATTGATATTTCTTTCCATTTATAATGTTATAAAAGATTTTGACTGACAAATAAATGCTCTTCCATTGAACTTTATATATATCAAAGATGTAAATAATAATAAGATAAATAATTAATGTTTTTAAACACCAAATCAGCATATAGAAACATATTAAAATAGAAATTGTAATAATATTTCACAATATTACTGTTTTGACTGTTTTTGATCAAATGAGCACGTGAGACTTCTTTTAAGAAACATAAAATCTTGCAGAACCCAAACATTTGCTTGTATAGGTTAAATCAAATAACTTCAGTAATATAGGTAAGTGAAATATTTTCAGGTATTCTCTGAGGTATGTACACTTAAATCACTGCTCTGTAGAAACAGTGGAGCAATAACTTAACGTATCCCTGTTTTCTCCATGTGTGGTGCCCACTCAAAAATAACTTAAATGAGTGATTATGGGCCCACACAGTCATTACTCAGTAATTCAAGCCCAAGCTTAAATTTGATTTCAGTCATACCTCTGCCTAAATGCTGATGCAGAACCAATTTTGACAGGATTTCAGAGAATGATTACACGCGCTTCTGCTGATTTTATAGAGGAATTTCTGTTCTTGAATGCACTTGCTCGTGTACTTTTACAGGCACATGCAGTGTGAGTGAATGCTGGCATCCATTAGGGCTGATAATCATGGCAGCCCCCTCGCTCCCCCCTCCATTCCACATGCTGTCGGCCGTGCCTCGTTAATATTCCGTTGTTGTTCTGTGCTTGTGTTTTATTCGGAGCCCATTTTCCATCTGCGGCGGGTGTTTTGTGTTCGCAGCTGTGTTTGATAGTGCAGCCCAGTTGAGACCTTGGCAGTGATGGATCCTTGATTTACGCTGCTTAGCGCATAATGAACTCGGCCCCTGCCTTAACGTAAGCGTCGGCCCTGCCAGGCGGCAGGCGGTGCCCACAGACCCCAGCCAGGTACGCCACCACAGCAGTCCCCTAGGGCAGGGGGACGCAGGTGTCAGCCCCCGAGCTTCCCAAATGTCTTTTCCACACTATTTGTGCCTCACAGCCACCAGACTTACAGAAAGACACAGAAAGGAACCGAGGAACACGCAGTCGGTGACAGCATCTTGATCTATCACCTTGTATCTTTACTGCCTCAAAGCTTAATGTATTCCAAACAAAGCAAAGCCGCCAAACAGAATTTGATAAGCAAATTGCCTTCTGTTTATAGCGGTGACATGCTGAATTTACATAACAGGTAGCCTCAAAAAAATACCAGGCGAGTATTACGATATGAATTTATGCCTTGTGGTATCCGGAGAGAGCTGTCACAAATTATTTTGTCAAATAAAGATTAAAGATGCTTTTACCAAGGGTAGAAACAAGCCTGCGGATTTAACTCGTGGCCAGTTTTCTGGAGACTAGCGCAGATGTCTTCGATTGAAGCGCCAGCTTAGGCTCAATTAAAGTCAGGTGAATTTGGTGCGATTGCTATTCTCGTCGCGTGCCGGAGAGCAGTCAGGGAGCATGATGGATTGTGATCTCTTCTGCGGAGGAGGCATTTTGAAGCGCCAAATTTCTTACAGCGACTGATAACTTCATGCACACAAATAAATACTGTCACTTTTATTGATTTCTGAAATGTATGGGGTTTTTTTCCCTGTTTTGTGTCATCTCCCCCTGCTTTTCTTCTCTCCCATTACTGGTGAAGCGAAGACGGTGGAGCCCAAGCAGCTGTGTAAATGCGAGGTGTTTAGCTGCATCTTGCCACAAAACGTGCCTGAGGAAATTGACATTGTCTGGTAACGAGAGTCTGAGCATGACAGTACATAACGAGAAATGCAATTTATTCCCAGGCACAGTGCCGCTCGGACAGCCAGATAATGAAACGCATAGGTCATAAACGATGACTTAAACCCTCCGCACAGAAGTGAAATGCATTAAATATGGGGAACGTTACACGCCTGGCGGAGACGTGCATCTGTACGGAGAGAGAGTGATATATGGTTAGCTGATAGTGAGACACAGAAACGCAATTAGTGCAGAGAGCAGAATAAGAAACACCCCTGCATATCATAATATCACTGATTACTGACCTCTGAATATCCATTACAGTGCAGGAAGGCAGGACGATACAGATGACAATGACCTATAACAGACAACTGATGATGTTGTACTGAGAGCTTGTAATGGCTTGATTTCAAATAAATATTGTAGGCCAGCTGTTTAATGCTTTGTATGAGAAAGAAATATCACTTGGGTTATTGTCCATTGTTGTTGTTTTTTTTTTTCTTCCGTCATATTTTTTCTTTATAGAAATGTTCTCCTATTATCTTTCTTTTAAGACATTTTTTAAATCTTTTCATTTTATAGCCTTTTTGTGAGTTTAGTTTATTGAAATGAAAGGTGTTGTGGTTGTAAAATTCATTCTTCTATCCTTTTTACATTTTGATTTACAATGATACACTTTGAAAACCAACTTTTCATTTGATTATTTATAGTCGTTTCTGTGCAAATGATTCATTGGAAGATTGCTTTCCAATATGCATCATTGTAAAACACTGTATTTATGGCTCTATCAATTGTTTATCAGTTCACAACGCTGCATCAATGCCATTTTCTGTAACTAAAGGTACAGAAATGACACCTTAATTTAGTCGTAATATAAGGTGATTATAGCCTTTATAATGTCTGTCTGGTGCAAGTTCATTCATTCAGTTCTTATCTTGTTATGATTAGCATTAACTTGCATATACTACATATACTGACCGACCCTGTGTCCCGCAGGTGACCATCCATTTGAGTGCGAGTTCTGCGGCAGCTGCTTCCGAGACGAGAGCACGCTGAAGGGACACAAGCGCATCCACACCGGAGAGAAACCCTATGAATGTAACGGCTGTGGCAAGAAGTTCAGCCTCAAACACCAGCTAGAGACCCACTACCGTGTCCATACAGGTACTGTACACTTCTTCCCGTTTTATCAAGCCATGATGAATGGGAATACAGATAGCTTTCTTTGGGTATTATAGTCCTCATTGGTTTATTGTACTACTTTTCCAGTAACATGCCCTACTTAAATCACGTTAAGCACTACGGTCGTATGTAGCAGCTTTCTGTTATCCTTGTCAGCAGGCGAGCATCACATCAGATCTTTAGATCACAGCTAAGGCCGATGCCAGCGCAGGCCATGCCTCTGTTTGGCTTCAGACCTGTGCAAAGAGCCCCTTTCCTCTTGTTAAGGTGATATCTGATTGATTCCTACATCTCCGCACTCTGTAAAGCCCACACCAAAGGGCAGGCCATTTCCAGTGCTTTCAGCTCGCTCTTTGACAAGGGGATTAGTGCGGTACTGTAGAGACCAGATCTCTCGGACGCACATGACGGACACCAGACATTCCCCTCCTCTCTGCCACTCAAAAAGCGATGCCGTTAAGCCAAACTATGAAGAAAGCCTGTCAAATAATTGGCTTCTTTGGGTGCGGTGGGGATGGAGTAAAGCCTCTGTGGTGCGTGCAGAGCTCCCGAGATAACAAGAACAACGACAAGCTCACAGTCAAAGGCCACCGCATGCAAAAAGGGAGCCGCTTGATGAAGCATCGACATTGGCAGCCCCGCTCCTGTCGATGACCAATCAATAACTCGGCTCCATTTGCAATTCATTATTGCCTGGTTATCTGAAGCTGCCCTGTTTACAGTGCAGTTAAAGTACAATGACCACACGTGCGTGTATCACTGGAGTCTCTACGGTTTAATGACCGTCTCATTAGGGCCTTCGCATACACAAACGCAGACAGACATGACATTGCTCGAACTGCCGAGGTCAAGGTTTCTCAATGCCTCCGTTAAACAAACAGAAGACCCGAACAAACAACACAGAGACTTTGCATTCCCAGGATACCTTTACCCAACACAAGCATTCTTAAATCCTCAACTTATCAATGCTTTCCCTAGTGACATTTTTAAAGGTCAACATTTAGATGACTTATTTTCACTGTCAGAACAAATGTGCTGTGCTTTGCGTTAATGTCTCTTTAAGAGGTTTCAGACAACATTCTGAACTAAGAAACAAATGTAATTTAACTATGTAACTAGCTTGACAAATGCAACACTTATGTTCCATCATGATGGGTTTTTTTTGTTACACTATGCTGCAAAATTTTACATTTGTCCGTTAAGAGGTAACAGAGGAAAAACTAGTTGTATAGACGACTTTCCCAGTATTTGCCAAATAATTCCTAGGGTTTTTTCTCTTATGCTCATCAAGCTTACATTTATTTTATCAAAAATACAGTGAAAACAGTAATATTGTGAAATATCATTACAATTAAAAAAATTTTTTTATTATATTTTAAAATGTAATTGATTCATGTGATGACAGAGTGGCATTTTCAGCAGCCATTACGCCAGTCTTCAGTGTCACATGATCCTTTAGAAATCATTGCTGATTGATGCTCAAGAAAGATTTTTTTATCATCATCGTTTTTAAAAACCGCTTAATATTTTTGTGGAAACTCTGTTTTTCATGATTTTTTTTTTCTTTCTTTTTTTTATATTATTGTTAGTATTAGTATTTTTTAACTGCATTTTTTTTATATATATTTTGTAACAATGTAAATCTCTTTACTGTCACAATTTAATTTATTTAATTTATTTCTTTAAATATGTATGAACTCATATTGGATATATAATTTGATAATTTGTAATTAAATTTTTCACACACACACACACACACACACACACAAAACATTTGAATTAATGCAAAAAAAAATTTATTGGTATGGTAACCAGTTACTCAAGTTACTCAACCCTAGAACACATTTCCTTATACTTTCATGTAAATCTTAAAATCTCAACTTAGAACAATTTTTTAGTTTTTGTGTGTTCACTAGGGATGCAACAATACAGTTAGCCCACAGTTCAATTCATACCTCGGTTTTTTTACCACAGTATTTGGTTCGGTTCTGATGGCTTGGCACATCAGAGTATTTTTTGCCATTTTAAATTTGATTTTTAAATCAAATAAACAACAAAAACTTCCTGTAAACATCTGTACAATGGAGAAAGGACGTGTATTATTATACGTCTCCTTAAAATTTCTTTTGAGAGAGGCATTTTTCCTATTTTTTACCCAAAATAGGACGGATTGGCCATAATGGAGTGCTATAAACACATGAAATGTTTGTTTCATTCATACTGGATCCTGGAGGGCGCCCTCGTGCAGAAACTCCACATATGCATCACAGAAGTAATAGAACTCATGACGCCAGGAAATAGAAACGTTTTGAATGATGAAGTATTACAATAAACACTCGCCTGTGGCAATATAGTTTATTTGTGTTCTTCAAGCCATCTCAGGTATTTTCAAAATTATTACGTATATTTATAATCCATTGCTAATCGACATAGACTTTCTTACAGTACAGAATATATTTTCTGCTTCGTTCTGAAGCTACACCAGATCAGAAAAGGAAGTTATTTCAAACACTTGACTGATGTTGTGGAGTAAAAATGTTATGATGTTCGCTTTTGTTGGACGGCATGTTTAGAAACGCCTCTCATTGCAAGTCATTACAAGGGAACATGTTTCGAGTGTGTTGCTTTTTCAAATGCACGTTATAAGCAGGGAGGCATTACGTTTCCTCATCTCGGCACGTGTACTTACAGGCACACAAACAGCGCCAATTCTGAGAGAAATAAAAAGCACACAGAAATTATTTAAAAGCAAAACCAAAAAACCGCAATTCACAAGCACGTATTGAACAGTGCATGTCATACAAAACGGTTCAATATTATATTGAGAATGGTGATATCCATGGGCGACATGGGGGGGGGGCAAATTGTTAATCATGGAATCCCTGATGTCGACCTCGCTGCAATTGGAGCGCTTAGCCAGGCGCTAAATACCCTCAGCGTGTTTTTGCAGCGTTGAGCAATGTAACCAATCACAGACATATCTGTTGATTTATTAAATGCAATGGCCAATCAGAAACGTTTTGTCAGAATTCACTCACCGCTGAAAGCGCTGCAGTTTTTAAGTTTTGTACGCTCGTGAATCATCTCATGACTACGTGCAGGCCCAATGTAAATAAGAAATTCATTGTGCAGTTTAGAGAGCTTCATTGATTATAACGGAACTTTGTAAGATCGCGATGAACGAAGATGAGTGACGCTTTTTAGTGATACAGGGAGCGCGCTTTGCACACTTTCTAAGGTATAATCCATTCAGAATTTGTATGAAACTTTCATTTTTTGGACACATAGGCTACACCCTGCAAAGTTTCGGGAATGACATCGGCATATTTATGCGGGATTCACTCTCGAAATAGCAGTGATTGGCAATGGACGGAACATAAAATATGTTGATTTAATTCTGGAACAGGTCCTGGCCAAACCTCTACAGCCAGCGTGTGTCCCGAGCGAGATCTAATTCACGGACCAAAAGCTTGAGTAAACTTTATTGAGATCGGGGCATATCAACCAGTAATTTAAAGGATGGTAGAAAGTTCAGCAATGAATGGTATGCGATTTATGACAGAATATAGTCCCACAACTGATCTTTTTTTTTTTCCTCGCGTGCTTTGGTAACAACGATTCAAAACGGAAACATTTCAAGTAACACGGGAAAAAGACACGGAAAACTTCAGTGAACATCAGAAAAGCAGCATGCACATTTCTGGTTAAAAATGAAAGGCCATCAACTGACAAATGGGAAGCATCACCATTCAAGTCAGCAGGAAGAGCCAAAGCTAGTCCACAGTTTACTAAACGGTGGCAACCTCTTTAAGTTATTCTTGACTGTGTTGTATTGACTGCTTTGATGCGTTGCGATATGGTAGGGCATTGTTTTGCATCCGAAAAAATTTGCATCTGAAAATGTATTTATTTATTTCATTTATATATATTTTTTTTTTCTTGCCCGCCGACTCAAGAGTCAAATGTCGCCCATGGTGACATCCCTAGTGTTCACAAATATCAACAGCACCATTCAGTGTACAAAATCTCATGACATATCTTGCAAAGTCCTGACATTTTCTGTTCTCCATGCAGGTGAGAAGCCGTTTGAGTGCAAGCTCTGCCACCAGCGCTCCAGGGACTACTCGGCCATGATCAAACACCTGCGTACCCACAACGGAGCCTCACCGTACCAGTGCACCATCTGCCTGGAATACTGCCCCAGCCTCTCCTCCATGCAGAAGCACATGAAGGGCCACAAGCCCGAAGACATCCCCCCGGACTGGAGGATAGAGAAGACTTACCTGTACCTCTGCTACGTCTGAAGGAGGGAGACGGTGGGGATGGAGGGGAGCGGGAGGGCGAGGGGTTAATGCGCCTGGAAACACAGTCAGGAAATGGACAGATTTGTCGGAGGGGCTGGGCAAGGCAGAATGGGAATGGACAGGAACTAAAAAGGCAGAAATCTTACCCCGTCAGTATCGCAAAACTGAAAAAAAAAGCATCATGTTATAGCCATATATCGGTTCGCAGCACGGATCATATGGGAAGTCCTCTCTCTGCATGTCAGCTTACGTCCCAAACTTTAAATATGTCTTATCAGTCAAACACACACTTCAGCAATGATCCCTTCTCTTCGTAAGGATGCCCTCTTCTGGTACAAAAATAGTAGTGTGAACTAGTGTTTATCTCTGACTGATCAGTTCGATCGCAGCAGAGATGTCGGTGCAAGAAGCACTTAGATCCATCAGCGGTAACGTGCCAGTCAGGTACTCCACAGCTAATATGAACCGTCATGATCATCAGGGTCGCTACTGCAAACTGGGATGTAAGCTTCCTGCAAAACACGCTTTTTAGTGATACAGGGAGCGCGCTTTGCACACTTTCTAAGGTATAATCCATTCAGAATTTGTATGAAACTTTCATTTTTTGGACACATAGGCTACACCCTGCAAAGTTTCGGGAATGACATCGGCATATTTATGCGGGATTCACTCTCGAAATAGCAGTGATTGGCAATGGACGGAACATAAAATATGTTGATTTAATTCTGGAACAGGTCCTGGCCAAACCTCTACAGCCAGCGTGTGTCCCGAGCGAGATCTAATTCACGGACCAAAAGCTTGAGTAAACTTTATTGAGATCGGGGCATATCAACCAGTAATTTAAAGGATGGTAGAAAGTTCAGCAATGAATGGTATGCGATTTATGACAGAATATAGTCCCACAACTGATCTTTTTTTTTTTTCTCGCGTGCTTTGGTAACAACGATTCAAAACGGAAACATTTCAAGTAACACGGGAAAAAGACACGGAAAACTTCAGTAAACATCAGAAAAGCAGCGAGAACATTTTTGGATAAAAATGTGAAAGGCCATCAACTGACAAACGGGAAGCATCACCATTCAAGTTGGCAGGAAGAGCCAAAGCTAGTCCACAGTTTACTAAACGGTGGCAACCTCTTTAAGTTATTCTTGACTGTGTTGTATTGACTGCTTTGATGCGTTGCGATATGGTAGGGCATTGTTTTGCATCCGAAAAAATTTGCATCTGAAAATGTATTTATTTATTTCATTTATATATTTTTTTTTTTTCTTGCCCGCCGACTCAAGAGTCAAATGTCGCCCATGGTGACATCCCTAGTGTTCACAAATATCAACAGCACCATTCAGTGTACAAAATCTCATGACATATCTTGCAAAGTCCTGACATTTTCTGTTCTCCATGCAGGTGAGAAGCCGTTTGAGTGCAAGCTCTGCCACCAGCGCTCCAGGGACTACTCAGCCATGATAAAACACCTGCGTACCCACAACGGAGCCTCACCGTACCAGTGCACCATCTGCCTGGAATACTGCCCCAGCCTCTCCGCCATGCAGAAGCACATGAAGGGCCACAAGCCTGAAGACATCCCCCCGGACTGGAGGATAGAGAAGACTTACCTGTACCTCTGCTACGTCTGAAGGAGGGAGACGGTGGGGATGGAGGGGAGCGGGAGGGCGAGGGGTTAATGCGCCTGGAAACACAGTCAGGAAATGGACAGATTTGTCGGAGGGGCTGGGCAAGGCAGAATGGGAATGGACAGGAACTAAAAAGGCAGAAATCTTACCCCGTCAGTATCGCAAAACTGAAAAAAAAAGCATCATGTTATAGCCATATATCGGTTCGCAGCACGGATCATATGGGAAGTCCTCTCTCTGCATGTCAGCTTACGTCCCAAACTTTAAATATGTCTTATCAGTCAAACACACACTTCAGCAATGATCCCTTCTCTTCGTAAGGATGCCCTCTTCTGGTACAAAAATAGTAGTGTGAACTAGTGTTTATCTCTGACTGATCAGTTCGATCGCAGCAGAGATGTCGGTGCAAGAAGCACTTAGATCCATCAGCGGTAACGTGCCAGTCAGGTACTCCACAGCTAATATGAACCGTCATGATCATCAGGGTCGCTACTGCAAACTGGGATGTAAGCTTCCTGCAAAACATGTTCACGATGCCCGGCTGACAGTCGGTGTGTAGATCCCTCCCATATGATTCACATTCATTAAGGGCTTATTGGTTTAACCAACGTACAAATCAGCTAAGCTCTTAGTACTCTGCTCATCAACGTCATTTCACGTTTTTTCTCTCTCATCATAGCTTCGTAGCACGCATTACAAGCTGACTTCACGACGACAGTTTTTGTTTGATGTTGGTTACTCAAGCGCCACATTTCGAGTTTATTTTAAGCTGTATTATGCGCACACTGTACATGTTCACATTATCTCCTCCTTCACTTATCAATTCTGAAAATCGCTTAACCGTTTGAAATGCATACAGAACATCCATTACACACTAGACATCTAATCAACTGTTTATGCTGTTGTTCTAGAGACCAAAATGATGACTAAAGCTGCTTTTGTCAGTGGCTTGCAGGCTGAGCGGCACTGTGACGTTCAGGGCTCGTCCGCACATATCCGTGTGTTCGTAGGTGGCCACGAGGCTTGGCTTGTCCAGCCGGGAACGCTGGGATGAATGAACAGAGCAGATCAAATCTTTTGGTTTGGTTCCTTTTGCTTTCTCTGTGTTTCCTATTATACCTTGATTTACTTCAGCACATCGTACTTGAATTACCTCGTTTTTTTGTGACCTCGTGTGCTAGTGTTTTATTTTTTCCTTTGTTTCTTTGTATATTTTGATTGTTTGCTTTGCGTTTGTCTTTCAAGCAGGGGAGCTCTGAAGCGGCGCGTGCTGTTAAGTACTTAAGAATTAAGTGCCATGGTGAAGAGAGATTATTTGTCTTTCGTTCAACGTTTCTTTAGTTTTATTCTTTGCATTAATCTTACCAAACTTGGTATTATGTTTTTGTTTAGTTTTTGTTTTACTAACCCTGCTTGTTGAAGAGCTTGTGGGTTTGGTCATTTTTGTAAGCTACCTCTAAGTTTTGTTTCTTTGTGTTGTGTTTCGTTTGCGAAAGCACATTGTTGTGTTTTGCGTTTTGCATTATTTCAACTTCATCTCACGCTTTCAAGTATTGTATGTCGGAAGCGACGAATATGAAAGGGTAAGATTTGCTTATAGGAAAAGTGGGTTAAAAAAATAATAATCATAACTTAGGGATATCAGTCCCCCCACCCCTGTAAATGTTACCTTAAGAGCAGAAAAGAGATTTCTGAAGCCTTAAGTTCGGGGTCGGAGTTGATCTGGGAGGTGTGTATGGAACAAGTGAAGTGTAGTACTTTAAAGTCTGAAAAAAAAACAATGTTAAACTTGAAAATATGTGAATAGAATTGTAGTTTTGTAATGTGAAAAAAGAAGGTTCACAGAGCGTGAGCCACTAAGAACAGGTCATATGCAGCAGTGCATTGTGCGTTGGACAATTGGGACTGCAAGTGGTAATCAAAGATGAAAGGAAGAAAAAAAAACTAAAATCCTGTCAGTTGACATGTTTCTTTGTATGAGTGTAGTCCTGAGCAAGAGCCAACAGAGGCCATTTGATATATAAAATTGTGATATTTTTGTATTAAGTGTCAGTCCCTTTTTTCCATTTGTTGAGGTTGCAGCGGGGCAAAACTTTGTAGTTCTTTTTTTATATCATTAATCTCTCGTTTGAATCGTTTGCCTTGCTCCTCTTCGGTAATGTTGGACAGTGCGTGATCCTATAGTGGTAAATGTTGCTTTCTGGATGTCAATACATTGCAGGTGAAGGACTAAATCAGCCACATTCTCCTTTGTGAAAATAAACAAAACAATATGTGATGCCAATGATCAATTACATTGCACACAATATCTCAAAACAATCAATGTTGCCAACGTTTTGTTTTTTACTTGAAGTGACTAAAAAAAAGAAGGGATGGGAAGACGCGTTAAATGAAACGTAACTGTCGTTTGTCTTGCCGTTGTTTTCTGGAAAACACTGTGAGTTTGGGCATATTTGCCTCCTGTGAGAATTTAAAAACTAGTAGCTCCATGAAAAAAAAAAAAGGCAGAAATATATATTTTGTTCTGTAAATGGATCATGTCGACTGGGTAAAACAGAGTTTTGCAATATGTGGCAACAATACGAGATATTAAGTCACATGTTAGTGTAACTTTTTGATCTTGTACTTTGCTTTGAGTGTTTTCACATTGTGTGTGCGTGTGCGTGTGTGTGTGTGTGTGTGTGTGTGCGTGCGCGCGGAGAGAGCACATTAGTGTCGAATGCACTAATCTGAAAGTCATGTTCTATGCCACTTTTCTCTCACCATGATTAAAAAATATTGGCATTGATATAGTTCTTCCCTCAATGTTCTTCTGATGTTTCTGTAATATCTTTGTGCCTAAATGAAATTGTTCAACAAATTGTCCACATATATCTGCTTAGTTTCTGTATTTTCAAGAAAAGTATTGGTGTCTTCAGGGCTCCAGGGATGCCATGATGATCTCAGATCGATTCACCTGAGACTATTTTTGTTGTAGTTTTAATCATTTGGTCTATTTTCAGTGGTTCCACTGACGACCGATCAGTATTGTAGTGTTTTATACGCAGTTCGAAAAAAGACAAGCCAAACATTCCTCGGAACGGAATATGTGTGTTTTTTCACAATGAATATCTGAGACTATTTTTGTTGTAGTTTTAATAATGATCATTTGGTCTATTTTCAGTGGTTCCACTGACGACCGATCAGTATTGTAGTGTTTTATACGCAGTTCGAAAAAAGACAAGCCAAACATTCCTCGGAACGGAATATGTGTGTTTTTTCACAATGAATATCCTACTTTTGGGGGGGGGGGGGGGGGGACCTTGTTCTTTTTTTGCCTCAGCAACAGGTTTGCTGATTAAACCTTTCAACAATGTCCCTTTAACATTCAGCAGGTTGTTGAAGCATTTGTTCTGCCCCTACTAGACATGTTTATTTGTTGTTTAAAGTACTTATGTTAAAGAACCGGTAAGCCATGCGTCATCATTGCATCCCTGGAGTTGGCTCACTGTGTTCCAGTGTGGTGTTCTAGAAAGAGTAGCCATTTCATGCTGTGTTGCCATGCATGTGCCATTGAGGTCAAAACTAAACTGTTTGAGTAACAAAGCACCAAGACGTTGTCTTTTTTTATATTAGCACTGAGGACCAATTGCCCTGTCGGACCAAGCATAACAAAGCTTTTTATGTAGCAAAGCAGTTTCTCTCTTCCCCCTGTCTCTACTGGATCCCCCTCTCCTTTCCTGGCTTGTCTGTATTTTTTTCCTCCCTTGTGACAGCACAAGTGCCAGTCCTGTTGCTCTTTAAGAATATAGTCTTTTGTTTCTGGGCTTTTTATTTTTGGTTGTTCTATTATTATTATTATTTGAATTGTTATAGTTATGTCTACCTCAGCACCTAATCT